TAATAAACCGGTATATGTATGTGTGTGTGTGTGTGTATGTGTCATTATGCCGACGAACTAGCATTAATCGGTGGGGCACATCGAACACGAACCGGACTAAGGAAAATAACGTTAGATACGTTGTGTATCTTGCGATCGGTAGCACAGTTTTTACGTCCTTTTAACACGAATGTCTCGTTTCGAGTTTCGCGACTACCAACAATGTTTTTTTTTTTTTTTTTCTCATGCTGTTCGATTCTCGCGATAGAAAGGATACGAACACGTTTGACAGTGAAACTCTCGCGAGTTTATATTTTTCCGTGGATACCAAGAGTCGAGAATGGAAATTATCATTCCGAATATAGTATCCATTGTGAAAATTATCGATAACCTTTGCACAGCTTTCATTTTCATCAAAAAATACAATTATTTTTCACCGCTTATTGCTAAGATATTTGTCGATAAATTCCATTTTTTTTTTTAGAATAATCATGTATCAATAGAACAGTCGAGAGAGTGGAAATTATCGATAATTTTTAATGCAGCGTCAATTGCAAAAAAACACTTCGTTGAAATTATATTTTTCACCCGTAGATATTGCGCTCAGATTAATTATCGATAATCTCTATTCTTGAGAATTTATCTGTCACCACTTCATCATCACTGTCCATACTCTTACAAATATTATTTTTTACTATGTTCAAAGTGTAATTCGAACCGATAAACAATTCCGTTGGAATTATTTCTTTTACCAATGGATAAACTGAGAATAATTATCGGTAATTTCCATTCTTGAGGGTTATTCGTCACCAGTGTCGAGAGTGGGAATTATCGATAATCACTTTCAGCGCGAAAAAAAAAAATACCCCGGAGAATTATTTTTGCATGGATGAATTCAGAGTGGAGAGCAAAAATACAATAGTCAAGTCGCACTGAACGCGGCGAGATAAGCAAGCGGTTTGTCACCGCCCTTCCCTCCCCTCCCCTTCACTCTCAACGCAGTGTCCATTTGCAAAAGATACGTGTATACTCTCGAGAACGACTCTTGAGAATTTCACTCTCAAATGGATTCACACAACAACGTTGATTGAACAAAATTCTGTCCCGTATATTTTCAGTCGAGTATATTCTGATTGTGCGTGTGTTTTTTTAAAAATCAAATAATGGAAGGTTTAGGTCGAACAACCTTTTTATTTCTTTACGCTCGGATCGTTCGGATCTCGAACCATCCGTTCAAGATCCGACCCATTTAACCTCTCGAGCAAGAGAACCGAACTCGAATCTCTCTTTTTTTTTTCTCTCTCTTTCTCTCTCTCTCTCCTTTCTTTCAAACGCGAAACCAAGAACCAAAATAAGCATTCAAAGAGCAAGATCCTTCTTTCTCACGGGAGTATCGAGAACGGAAATAACGTAATCCCGATAAAAAATCGATCGACCTATAAACCCTCGTACGAAAATTCGACTTGCAACCCATTCAGGATTTGTAATATCGATAATATTTTTTTCAATCGACGAGACTAGATTCGTGTACACTTCGATTAAATAATACAATAAAAGTTAAACCGACAGGAAGAGGATTCGTTCTTAGTTACATTGTGCAAACTTTCCTCGATAGATCGTAAAATTCGTGGAAATTTTTATTTTAATTTTCGATTTTGACGAAATACAAAAGCTTCTTCCAAAAAAAAAAAAAAAAAAAAAAA